CTCACTGTCCCCCACTGTCCCTTTGCCAGGTCTAAGATCCGGATTCGGGATGGGAGGGCAAAACCCATCGATCTTCTGGCCAAGTACATCAGCGCAGAGGACGATGACCTGGCTGTGGAGATGCACGAGCCCTACACCTTCCTCAACGGCTTGACTGTCTCTGACATGGAGGACCTGGTGGAGGACATCCAGGTGCCTGCTCTGCTGGCCTTCTGCCTGGGCTCAGGGCTTCTCTACCAGCTCTGCTCTCCTGCCTCTGGTGTGGAGCAGGTGCCTGATGTATCTTCTGCCTGCAGGTGTACATGGAGCTGGAGCAAGGAAAGAACGTGGACTTCTGGAGGGACATGACCATCATCACAGAGGATGAGATAGCCAAGCTCCGCAAGCTGGAGGCCTCTGGGAAAGGAGGACCAGGTGAGCAGGAGAGCAGAGCCTGGTGTGGGTGTTGGGGTCACCCTGTGTGCTCAGGCTCAGAGGGGCTCAGACCTGCTGGATGCAGGCTGTGGGTCTGGCAGCTGTCCCTGGCTGGGGCCCAGCCTCCTGCTGTCAGCAGAAGTGGGATGGGTGCAGCTGGGTGCCTGGACACTGACCGGCTGCCCTCGCCTGTCCAGGAGAGCGTCGGGATGGTGTCAACGCCTCGGTCAGCTCAGATGTACAGTCGGTGTTCAAGGGGAAGACGTACAACCAGCTGCAAGCTCTGTACCAGGGCATCGAGAGCAAGATCCGGGCAGGAGGGCCCAACCTGGACATCGGGTACTGGGAGAGCCTCCTGCAGCAGCTGAAGGCTTACATGGCTCGGGCCAGGTGAGAGCAGAGTGGCAGCAGTGCAGACCCTGCCGTGGGCAGAGCTGGGAAGGCATAAACCCAACTGGAGGAGGAAATGGGGGAGGGTGTTCTGTGTTTTCTGAGATGGCTGATTTCCAAGAGGGGAGCAGGGCAGGACACACAGGCCCTTTTCTGCAGTGGTGATGTTTGGTGAGGTCTCCAAGAAGGAAGTGAACTGGGGCTTATTCAGCCCAAAGCCATCCAAGCCTGGCAGATTTCTGCCCATGGAGGTGGTGTCAAAGCTTTGGGCAGTGGGAGTGAGGTGGTTCTGCTGGGTAGGACCCAACAGCTCCTCTCCTCTCTCAGGTTGCGGGAGCGGCACCAGGACGTGCTGCGGCAGAAGCTGTACAAGTTGAAGCAGGAGCAGGGTGTGGAGAGCGAACCGCTCTTCCCCATCATCAAGCGGGAGCCGGCTTCCCCCAGTGACAGGTGAGCAAACACCTGGGCCTGTCCCCGGGCACAAAGGCAGTCTTGTGCCCTCACCCTTCCCGAGGCAGAGCTCAGGTGAGCAGCTAGCGAGGGTACCATCCCCGTCCAGTCCTCTCTTCTCCCTTCCATGCAGGCTGGATCCCGAGGAGAGCCTGGAGGCACAGCCAGGGCCATCCTCAGAGCCAGAGGCAGAGCAGGACACAGAGGCCAAGGGAGAGGCAGAGGGGGAGGCCGTGCTGATGGAGGAGGATCTGATCCAGCAGAGCCTGGATGATTACGACGCGGGCAAGTACAGCCCCCGGCTGCTGGGCCCCAACGAGCTGCCCTTCGACGCCCATGTGCTGGAGGCCGAGGAGGACACGCACCGGCTGCTGCTCCTGCGCCAGCAGCTCCAGGTGACAGGTGAGCCCCAGGGCAGCTTGCCCAGCATGGGGGTGTGCAGTGATTTGGGGTGCAGGACTGGAGTGGACACTGCCCTCAGGAAGGGCAAGAGCTGGATCTGAGTCAGGCACCCAGAGCTGAAATGGTGCTCAGGCTGCTGGTGCTCCCTGGGAGACCTCCCTCAATACCACCAAGGTGTTTGGGTGCAGACAGGCAGGAGGGGTGTTTTGGTTGAGTTTTCCAGCACAACTCAGCCCAGTGCCCGGGCAGAGCCCACAGGGCAGCCCATGCATTCCCGTATGCAGTTCTGCATGCTCTGCACAGCAGCTCCTTCTCTCTGCATGCCTTGGAGCAGCATTGCATGGGCCGGGCCTGGCCTGGCACTGCAGAACCTGATGTCCCTTCTCCTCCCCTATAGGTGACGCTTCTGAGAGCACCGATGACATCTTCTTCCGCAAGGCCAAGGAGGGCATGGGCGCGGACGAGGCGCAGTTCAGCGTGGAGATGCCACTCACGGGCAAGGCCTACCTGTGGGCTGACAAGTACCGGCCCCGCAAGCCCCGCTTCTTCAACCGCGTGCACACAGGCTTCGAGTGGAACAAGTACAACCAGACCCACTACGACTTCGACAACCCCCCCCCCAAGATTGTGCAGGGCTATAAGTTCAACATCTTCTACCCCGACCTCATTGACAAGCGCTCGACGCCTGAGTACTTCCTGGAGGCCTGCCAGGACAACAAGGACTTCGCCATCCTGCGCTTCCATGCGGGGCCACCCTACGAGGACATCGCCTTCAAGATTGTCAACAGGGAGTGGGAATATTCCCACCGCCACGGCTTCCGCTGCCAGTTTGCCAATGGCATCTTCCAGCTCTGGTTCCACTTCAAGCGTTACCGGTACCGCCGGTGAGGCTCAGCACCCTCGGACACCCGGCAGGGGTGGGCAGGGGCTCATCCCATGGCACAGACACTGCTCTATGCATGGCCCCAAGGCCTGGCCCAGCGCTGGGCACATTCCTGAGGTTTTTCTCTGTCCTTGCATTTATCATGAAGAACACTGAGACTTTGGTATAAATAAAATAAGGGTTGTTTTAGCCATGAGATCCTGGGCATGGGCACCCCCAGTGCTCCTGCATGACAGCACCAGCCAGTGCCACACTGGGAACTCCCCTGGGGACTGGGTAGTGCTTGGGCTGGGTGTCCTCACCCCACCCCACAGAGTCAGCCCCTGTGCTCCTTGGCCCACTCCAGCCTCCTCCCAATCCCAACATCTCCCTTTACCAGTCCAGCTGCTGCTCCCCAGCTGGAGTCACAGGGCCCTTGACTGCACCAGCTCAGCCCTGCCCTGTGTCCTGCTTCATAGAGGGGCCCCATTCCTGGCATGTCCTCCCATGGGATCTGACTTCCCTAGCCTGGGAGCACTGCCACATCCCTCAGTCCTGCCTGGGGCATGGGAGGCTTTAATGCTGCACGGCGCCTGCTCTGGTGGAGCAGAGGAGAGGGATGCTGGTTGAGATATTTCCTTACAGGGGAAAATCCGGATTCCAGAGCCTGCAGTCCCTCCCACGCCATGCCTTTGAGGCTCTCCCTGCCTGGGTAAGAAGCAGTTGCAGTCCTCAGTATCCTGTTGATGAGGTGGGAGTTCCTGAGGGCCTCTAATGATGTTCAGATGGGTTTTGGGCACCTTAGGGGCACTTCAGGGTTGAGCTGGGACTGGCTGGTGTTGGTCCCACCACATGATGACCAAGGGCACAGCCACACTCTTCTGGGATCACCCCACATGGCTCCATCCCCACAAGCTCCCAAACCCCAGGGTGTATGCCTGTTCAGGAAGGCAGGATGAAGTGCTGGTGAGTAGTGCCCAGGAGTGCAGGAAACCTCTGCCCTGGCTTCACCAAGAGACCATTTCCTACCTGCATCCACTCTCTCCCCAGTACAGGCCCATGGTGCAGGGACTTAGGGATCTGCCCAGGTCCCCCAGCAGTAGGAGAGAGGCAAGCCTGCTGTGCAGGGGCGTCCAAGCCCTTGGGGGCTGCCCCATGGCTCAGGGAAGTTGCCTTGTCCTGCCCCTGGCTCTGCTGCAGAGCCACCATGGGTGCTGGTGCTCAGGGGGCTCCTGCTCCTGCCCTGGTCACCCACACTTGTGGGGCTTGCCCTGCCTGCAGATGGGGGGGGACCTGTCCTGCACATGGGTACCCCCTCCTCATCCTGCCGGACATCCCCAGGGCCTGCACCGGACACGTTCCCTGGCCTCTCCTTCCTGGCAGTTGTTTCCTGCTGCTCCCTGTGCAGGGGGGGGTTTGGGGCTCGGTGCAGGAAGTGAGTGAAGGCCTGGCCAGGGAGGAGGAAATGGGGAAAAAAACACAAACCCCAAAACTGGTGGTTGGTGCCCTCCCTGCTCAGCTGCCAGGCAGAGCCTCCCTCCCCACAGCCCATCCTTTTCCCTCTTGGGCACACACAGAGGTGGGGGAGCTCCCCCAAAACCGTCCCACTGTATCTCCAGCTGGAACAGGGTCCATGTCCTCTTCCAGGCACGGCGTTTCCCTGCACGTCTGACTGCAGGCCCTGGATGGGGCCGCAGGAGCCTGAGCCCTGAGAGCTGCTGCAGCCTCCAGGCCTGTGCTGGGGCCAGATCAGGATCTGGATCCGGCTGAAGCCCCTGACGGCTGTTCCCTGACCTGGCTGCTCTCAGTGCTCCTCCCAGTCCTCATCTCCCCCGCGTTTCGGGACAAACAGGGCACGCAGCGGCTCGGCCGGGTGATGCCCGGGCGGGGCAGTCGGTGGAGCTGCCCCGTGTCCCATCATCCGTGATGGGCTCAGCTCTCCCGGGCACACCCGGCCCCACCTGGGGCAGCAGCGGCTGCCGAGCCCCGCGTTCCGCTGCCGGCGGGGCCGCTCCTGTCCCGGCACTCGGGCCAGCTGCGATTCAGCTCCATGTGCCTTCCGCCGGGGCTCTCGCTGCCACAATCTTTGCTCCAGCCCAAGGGCTGGCGGGATGATGGGCTCTGCAGCCCCTCACTGCCGAGCCGGGGCCAGGAAAACCTGCCCGGGCAGCCAGCTGAGCGCGGAGCCGCTGTGCCCCTTGCTCGCTCGGGGTGTCCCCGCGGACCCAGGCGCTCCCAGCTCCAAGGCCAGGGCCGAGCTCTGCCCTCCTCGGCGGAGCACGAGCAGCAGCGATGGAGGCTGTCGCTCCTGAGAGCATGGGAGGGAGGGAACGCTGCCTGGGGACGTGCCACCCCAGCTGGTCTCGGGTTTGGACAGCGCAGCGACATCCCGAGCTCGGAGCTGCCGGGCTGGGAAAAGCCCCGGGAGGCGAATCCCGCAGGGCAGGGACGGCCGGGGCTGCGGGAGCACCCAGGGACCTCAGCCCTCGGCCACCCCAGCGCCCGGAGCCGCCGCCTCTCCCCGCTCGGGTCCGGGGTCGCTGCAGGGCTCGGGGGGACGCCCCCTCTGTTGGACCCCACCGCGGTGCGGGTCCCGCCGGGGGCGGCACGGCCGGAGCACCCACCCCCGCCTCCCAGGGACTCGCCCGAGTAAACGAGTGAGTAATGGGGCGGGAGCGCAGCCCCGAGCGGACCCAGCCGCGGGTGCCTCCGCCAGGGGGGCTCCGGGCGCCGGCGGGGGGGCTGCACGGAGCGGGGGCGATGGGGCCGGGGGCCACCCCCGCCTGAAGGCCCGTCCCGAGCAGGGAGGGAGCGGAGAGGGACGGGGCCGGTTCCGGGGGGCGCGGCGAGCCCGGCCCTTCCCCCGCCCCGCGGCGGAGCCGAGCCGGGCCGGGCTGAGCCGAGCTAAGCTGAGCCGAGCGGGCTGAGCCGAGCCGAGCCGGGCTGAGCCGAGCCGAGCTAAGCCGAGCCGAGCCGAGCCGGGTGGGTCCCGCCGGCAGCGAGGTAGGGCTCGGGTCTGCGCGGGGAGGGAGGCGTTGGGGCGAGAGGTTCGGGGCCAAGGGACAAAGAGCCCCGAAGGCTGGGATGGACGGACAGAGACGGGGATGGGCGGACAGACCGCCGGGATGGCTCGGCGGGGCTCCGGGTGCTGTGTAGGACGGTCGGGTCTCCAGTGGCTCCCGGGGCGCTCGGCTCCTCCAACAGCCCCGAGGATCGGGGGCGTTTCGAGGGAGGGGAAGAGGAGACCCCATCGTGGGGGACGGACGCGTGGTGCCCCCGCTCCCCCCACTGTCTGTCTGTCTGTCCCGGGACCGAGGGTCCGCGTCAGGAATCTTCGGCGTTCCGTCAGAACCAGGATTTGCTTTCGGGACTCCCCCGCCGGGACGGGTCCCCCCCGCCTGCCCCCGTGTGTCGCTGGCTCCTCCGGGAAGAGCCGGAGAAGGACGAGGAAAGGCTCAGGAAAGGGCCGGGAAAGGAAGGGTCCATCTCGGGCTGTCGGAATGGGCGGCCCAGCAGCCTTGAAGCCCTCGAGATGCCGCGGCGCTGCGGGCGGAGGCAGCCGCGGGGCGGGGGTCCGGGTGCCCCAGGGCTTCTGCACTCCAGGACACTCGGGCTGATCCTCCAGCCACCGCCTGCCCGGCTCCGGGGCCCTGGAGAATGGGGATGGTGCCAGCTGTTTCCCAGTCAGACAAGAGGTTGGGGACCTCTGCCCTGGGCCACAGCAGGGACAGGGAAAACCCCAGGGAGGACAGTTACCATGCCTGGCAGGAACCATCCCGTGTGTCACTGCTTCCCAGAAATGTCCTCTGTCCTGGGAGTCCCTGGGATGTCTCTGCCCTAGGCCAGGCTAACTTCTTCAGGAGCCAGTCCTTGTGATTATTGTGGGTCCAGGGAGGAACACTGATGCTCTGCCAAGTCCTCATCCCCATGGCCTTTCCTGTCCTGGATGATGACCTCGACCGTGATTTGATACCCCGAGCCCCAGGCTGGAGGGAGGTGGCAGTGGGACCACAGCCATCGCTGACAGGTGACACAGTGTCCCGTGGGACCACCTGCACGGGGGAGGAGACAGAAAGACAGAAGGGATCGTGCAGGAAGGTCATTGTCCTGGAGAGGACAGCGAGCAGAGAGTGGGATAAGTACAAACACAAGGGATAAATGCAGACACCCTGCAGCATCCTCTGCACGGCTGCCCTGTGGCTCAGTACCACATCCAGGGGCAGAGCCCAGGCCGAGGGAACCATGGGGTGTGGGGGGAGTCACTGCTGTCTGGTTTGGGGATCCTTTGCTGGTGTGTGGTGCCTCTCCCAGCCCCCACCCCGGCCTGATCTTGCAATCCCTGTCCAGGCCCATGCCCAGTGCTGCCTGGGGGAGCCTGGGGAAGCAGCAGGCTGGGGCAGAAGCTGATAAGGAGCAGCCTACCACACTCCCCATCTGCCTTTCCCTCCCTCCCCTCGGATGTGGCCAGGGCAGGAAGCAGTGCCCAGCAGGGGCAGGACAGCCTTGGTGCATCTGCAGCAGGACTCAAACCTGCCAGGAGCCCCCCACACCCCGCTGCCAGTGCCTCACAGCCTCCAGCAGGACATTTTAGAGCTGGCTCCTCTCCTGTAGGATTTTACCCCAGTACCCTTTGCCAAACCCTTGCTTCCCAGGCACATCCATTTTTCTGGGTCCAGAACCCCAAACCTGAGCACAGGGGGCCAGTGGGGGCAGTCCCTGGGCTCAGGATTTCTCTTCTGCAGGACCTGCTGTCCCCACATGCATCCTCCTGCAGTGACTGCCCATGATGGGGGGAAATGGCAAGTGGGGACCCCCAGCCCCACAGGAGCCCCTTCCCAGAGGCAGCATTGGTGTGTTCTGGCACAGAAGAGGCTCCCTCGCTCCCAGCCCTGCAGCTGCTGGGTGGCCCCTTGTAAATATTTGGCTCCCTCTGAGTGCTGTGTCCAGCTGAGGCAGAGGCAGCTCTGCACAGGGGGGTCCCAGTGCTCAGCCCCTGAGCCCAGCTCAGGGTCCCCCCAGCCCCAGGGTTTCTCTCCAGGCCCAGTGGGGTCCAGGCTGTGCTTTTGTCAGGGCAGGAGGTGCAGGGAGGACAAGGAGGGGATGTGGAGAATGGTGGGATTTGGAGCTTCTGGGGCTGCTGCCTCCTTGCCTGGCCAAGGGGCCACTGCAGGGAGACCCCCCTGCCACTGGACACTGTAGGGAGGGGTCATTCCCTGCCCCAGTGAGGCAGCCAGGAGCACCCTGTGGCTGGGAGCACCCAAGTAACAGGGACAGCAGGGGGGCTCTTGGACCCCCATGAACAGAGGGAGCACCCTGGGACAAGGGGAACATGTTGGGGACAGCACCCAGAGCAGCGTGGGCAGGTGGGTGGCAAGGGACAGCTGGAGTGGGACTGGCACACCAGGCACTCGCATGGCACCGCTGTGGGGCAGGGGTGACTTTGTCACCTCTCAGAGGACATGGGAAAGGCTGGTGACTCCTCAGGGTCTCAGAATGTCATGCTGAGGCCTCAGCACGTGTCTGCAGGGCCGACGCCTCTGGGGCTGAGGCAGTCCCTCGGGGAGCAGTGAGAACAAACAGCAGCGAGTTTTCACTCTGGGCTCATGGAAAAAGCCAGGCCCACCCTCACAGTGATTCACCAGCGTGCTCTGCCAGCCCCCCACACAGGACAGGAGAGGGATGGGGCCGAGCCACCACTGCCATCCCTGGCCCCTTTCCCTGCCCCCAGGGCTGCAGGTCCTGAGCACAGGCAGGGTGCTGGGGCAGGAGCAGGGTGCTGGTGCTCTGTGTGTCCTTATCCCCGTGTGACACCAGGATGAGGCCCCAGAGGATGTTGCAATGCCTGGCCCCATCCCAGCCCGGCCGGGCTGTGGGATCAGCGCCTGCCTCGGGTGTGTGCAGGGGCTCCCAGCCCTGCGGCCACCCTCACACCAGGGGCCAGAGAGGGGCTGGCAGTGAGGGGTGTCCGGGTGAGGGACAGGGCATGGGGATCCAGAGCCAGGCCAGTGATGGACCAACAGCCAGGGCAGGCAATGATCAGAGTGGTGTGAGGTTTGACTTCTGTGAGGGACAGAAGACAGGTGGCAGTGCCACCGTGCACAAGGGAGGAGCACTGCAGTGGAGGCTTTGCAGGGGTGATGTGTTGGGCAGGGCTGGGCATCCCACGGGGCATTCTACTGGGGCCACTGGGCTGAGGACCATGTCAGCCAGGAGGGTGGGCTGGGGCAAGTGGGGTGGCAAGAACATCCACAGCTTGGAGAAATGGGTCCCAGGAGGACAGGAGGGGTGTGGTCCCTGTGGGGGTCTGTGCCCCAGGTTGTCCCCACTATTGCCATGTCTGTGTCCTGCCCCACATCATCCCATTTGCAGCCTGGACTAATTTGCAATGCTCACAGCCATGTAGCACCAGGAGTTGGACTTGATGAACCTTGTGGGTGCCTTCCAACTCAGGATATCCCATGACTCTATAATTTTCAGATGCTTCCTGGCCCAAGCAAGGCAGAGTGGCACTGACCAGGCTGTCCACCACCACAGCCATCCCTGTCACACCCTGTCCTGGTGACAAACCCACAGCTCCCACTGTGAGGGATGCCAGGAAGCCAGAGCCGGTCTGTCACCCACACTGGCTGTGGTTTGGACACAGTGCCAGGGTTGCAGCACAGCCTCAAACCTGTACCTCAGGTTTCCCCAGCACACTGGAGGAATGGGGCATCTTCACAATGAGCCAGGGGTTTATGCTCAAGGACGGGCAGAGTGTCAGGATCATGCCCTGGTGCCACCACTCTGTGCCTGCATCCTTCAGAGTGTGTCCCCCACTGTTATGGAGGGTGATGGCCCTGGGTCCCCCTGGGGCAGGAAGAAGCCAGGCTGTCAATGCTGAGCTTTCCCCAGCACCCTCTGTGCCAGGATTCAGACTCATGGCTGCAGCCCCACGTGGCTCCTGGCCCGGGACAGTTAATCCCAGCAGCTGGAGGGCTGCAGCCCTCGGCACCCTCTGCAGCTGCGCCTGGGGGCAGCATGAGCTGGGTCCCGCCCAGGTGTTCCCCTCCATGGGCTGGCGTCTCACCCTGGTGTCCCTCTCCACAGCCCCTGGAGGACCCCATAGCTGCAAGCTGAGGATGGATGATGGGTGGGCCTGGCCATAGGGGGCAGCCCTAAATTACCTCTGTTCCCCCTGCAGGGCAAGGTGGGATTGGTGCCGGCAGCAGTGGGAGGCTCCAGCCATGGAGCAGAGCCAGGCCGGGGCCTGAGGCTGCTGGAAGGAGCAGGAGGGGGTGCAGGACATGGAGCCCCCCAACAGCAGCACGGCCGGGCGGGCAGCCTCGTGCTTCGGGGTGTTCAACGCCAGCGATGGCCGTGCCAGCGCACAGAACAGCATCGCCTCTCCCTGGTTCTCCACGGCCTTCGGCCTCATCGGCCTCTGCTCCAACCTCTTTGCCCTCTGCGTCCTGGTCAGCTCCTCCCGCAAGCTCTCCAGCCAGGCCCGCTCGTCCTTCCTCATCTTCCTCTGCGGGCTGGTGGTCACAGACTTCATGGGGCTGCTGGTGACAGCCTCGGTCATCATCCCCTACCACTTCACCAAGTTCTCCTGGGCCAAGGTTGACCCTGGCTGCCACCTCTGCAACTTCCTCGGCTTCTCCATGGTCTTCTTCGGGCAGTGCCCGCTGCTGCTGGGGGCCACCATGGCCGGGGAGCGCTTTGTGGGCATCAACCGCCCCTTCTCCCGCTCCACCAGCCTCTCCAAGCGCCGCGCCTGGGCCATCGTGGGGCTGGTGTGGGGCTTCTCCTGCTTGCTGGGACTGCTGCCACTGTTCGGGCTGGGGCGCTACACGCTGCAGTTCCCCGGCTCCTGGTGCTTCCTCACCCTCCTGCCCGACACTGGCGACGTCGTCTTCTGCCTGCTCTTTGCACTGCTGGGCATCCTCTCCGTGCTGCTCTCCTTTGTCCTCAACACCGTCAGCGTGGTCACGCTCTGCCGCGTCTACCACGACCGCGAGTCGGTGCAGCGGCGCCGGGACAGCGAGGTGGAGATGATGGTGCAGCTCGTGGGCATCATGATCATTGCCACCATCTGCTGGATGCCCCTCCTGGTGAGGCCTCTGTCCTGGTGTGCCCCATCACCACCTCTCCATGTCCCTCCTGGCTCTTCATGTTCCTCCTGTTCCTCCTTGTGGGGTCTCAGTCTTGGTGTGCTCCCCCCAGTGTCACTCCTGGGGCTTGGTGTCCCCCACCCCTCACAGTGAGGTCCCAGCTTTGGTTGTGTCCCCTCCATGTCCCTGCTAGGGAGGTCCCAGATCTGCAGATGTCCCTTTGGTAAGACTTCCCCTGCTGGTGTCCCCCTGCCACCTCTTTACACCCCGAGTTGGCCCCTGGTGACAGAGCAGTGCCCCAAAACAGGCCAGGACTCCTCCCAGGGGCTCAGTGCCTTGACCTTCATCACTTCCCCACCCTGGAGAAGCTCATGGATCCTCCACTGACACTTTTGTCCCCTTCTCCCCCCAGATCTTCATTGTGCAGATGGTCCTGCAGCACCTGCCTGGCCAGGCCCAGGTGCTGCCCACGGACACGCAGGAGATGCTGCTGATCTACATCCGCATGGTCACCTGGAACCAGATCCTGGACCCCTGGGTGTACATCCTGTTCCGCCGGGCCGTGCTGCAGCGCGTGTACCCCCGGCTGCCCCCCCGGCCCTCCCTCGCCTCCCTCAGCCCCTCCCTGCCCCGCAAGCTCACCGCCAGCTCCGTGCTGCAGTAGCACCAGGGGACGGGCACTGGGCAGGGGGACACGGCCGTCCCCCCCTCACCCATGGTGGATCCTCATCACCTGCATCCAGCCCCTTCCCCCCACAAGCCCGATAGCCAAGGGGCTGTCAGGGGGCTGCTTCCCCCTCCCCGTCCCCAATAAAGCACAGCTGGTGCAGCTCTTGGTGCCTGCTGGGGGTGACCACCCGAGGGGGGCCCAGGGAGGGTACCTGGGGGGAACCCACGCTGCTGACAATCAGAGCAACAGCCCTTCTCCTCCTGTCTCACCTTTAATGAGCCACAGACACTGCCCACCACATTCAGGATTGTGCAAGGGGGATCCTCAGGAAGGTGGGTGGGTTGGGTGCCTTCTGCCCCCTAAGCCAAGGGACAGATCTAGGTGCTGCTCAGGAGGGTGTGGGGGACAGGATGGGGACCTCCACCAGCATCTCAGCCCCAGATGGGGTGGGGACGAGGTGGGAGTGTGGGGAGAGGATAAAAGTGAGGGGCAACATCTGCCCCCCAGCTACTCCTTATCCCCCTTGGGGTGGCAGACAGCTGCCCACACCTCTGCCACAAACTCCTGTGGGAAGGCAAACTCGCCCAGCACCGAGTCCAGCCCCTGGGCAAGCTGGGCCACGCTGGGGCTGCCCTTGGCTGCCTCCACCATCGTCGAGGCTGTTGGGGAGAAGAGGGAGGTCAGGTCCAGTGTGAGGGGCTGGGACAGGAGCAGGGGCTGAATCAGGATCTGGAGCTGGAGCAAGGGAAGAGGCAGGAGCTGGGGCAGGAGGAGGAGCTGGGGCAGTGCAGGGGCTGGGGAAGGGGCTAGGGCAGGGTTGGGGTGGGAGTGAGGGTCAGGACAGGTCAGTGCCCCAGGGTAGGGGCAGGGTCAGCTCCGTGTCCAGGCCACTCCTCACCCAGGTCGCTGTCGCGGATGCCCATGTAACTCTCCAGCAGATCATCCACCCGCCGGGCGGCCTCTTCCTCGGAGGGGCTGGGCTGGGGGCGAGGCACCCGGGGTGAGTGCCAGGCAGCACAGGGGATGCTGATCCCCATCCTGGCACAGGGTGAGCAGCCAAAGGCTCGGGGTGGGGGGCTTGGGGTGGGGGGCTCGGGGTGGGCCTTACCCCCTCCTCCAGCACGGCCGGGCCCTGTGTCCGCAGCCGCAGCGTTTCCTTCCCGCTGGCCACTCTGCCTTCGCCTGGGGATTTGCCTGTCCGTGTCCGCTGCCCGATCATGTCTGTGCCCCGGGGCGGGGGTGAGGGCACAGGCAGGACCAGGCATCCCCAGCCCCTCGATGCTCACTGCCCGGGCATCCCCAGCCCCCAGGGGCACTCCAGCGTGAGCTGTGTGTGGGACGGGGGGGGTGTCGGGGACACCCAGGGGTGCAGGGGGGGGATGCTCGTGGTCATGGGGTGCTCATGGATGCTCAGGACAACACTCACAGAGCAAGGGGGTGCCCGTGGGGGCACGAGCAGGTGTAAGGACTCCCATGTGAGTGCCCCAGGGCTGTGGGGTACACACACATAGTGGGGGTGCAGAGGGGTACACACAGGGGCAGTACACCCTGGGAGGCACTCAGTCACTGGGGAGGGGCTGCAGGGCCACGGGGGGCTGGGGACGATCCCAAGGTCCCCAGGGCAAGAGCAGGGGAACCTTCCCAACTCACCAAAGGCCTTTTTCGGCTGGACCAGGCGGAGGGTGAAGGGCTGAGCCCGCGGCAGCTCCCGCAGCATCCGGGCCACCTCGTAGTGCCGGCAGCCCACGATGGTGTGGTCGTTGATGGCCTCAATGCTGTCCCCCACACACACTGTCTGCAGCCGGTTGATGATGCTCCCCTCCTTGATCCTCTGGGGACCACGGTGGGACAGGGACACACGGCACAATGGGACAGCCAGACACAGCCCCCATCCCGACCCACACACAACCACCTCGAGGGTCCCATGCCCTTTGGTAGCCAGATCCGGCAGGGAAACCCTCCCAAACGTCCCCACAGCAGGGGAGATCCCCAGGGCCAGGACAGACCCAGGGAAGGGCTGGTGTGGGGAGTCAGGGGGGAGCCTGGTCCCAGGGAGAGGATGTGCAGGGGATGTCACCTGCAGGGCCACAGTCCCCAGGGCTGCCCCAGGGAGTTCACCTTGATGAAGGCATAGCCGGCACCGTTGTCTGTGATGGTGAGGCCAAGCGCGTCCTCTGTCTTGGTCACCTCCACCTCCTTGGTCTCACCCCGGACATGGGCGAAGATGAAATCCTCCAGGCCAATCTGTCCCCCCAGCAGCTTCTGCATGTCCACTTTGTGCGTGTTGAGCGTGCAGAAGAGGATCTGCCCCAGGGAACCCCATCAGCAGGGACTGGGGATGCCCCAGTAGGGAAAGACGTGATGGGGAGCCACAGCCAGCTCAGGGGGACTCAGTCATATCTGGGCACCGCTAGAACAGAGGGTCCCAGGGACCCCCAGCCTGCCTGGGGACCCTGCACTGCCCCATCCCTGCGCACTTTCCCCCAGCTCCAGGCAGCTGGAATCAGCCAGGAACTGGCAGCCACGGCTCCCTGCCCACATACGGAGGGTAAACTGAAGCACAGAGCCCCCAAGCCCTCCCCAGAGGAGCCAATACAACCCTGAGGCCATAACACCCTTGCAGAAAATTTTGGGGACTACATTTGCAAACATCTGGGGCCTTGGGGGAGCACAGGCCACAGACAGCACCTCAGGGTGGGTGTCCCTGCCTGGGGCACAAAGACCCCGCCCCGGGCCGCAGCCCCTCACCTCGGTGGGCGAGATGTCGAAGACCTCGGCGATTTTGGCGTAGAGCTCCTTGACGTTGGTGAAGCCCTCGATGCGGCCCGTGGGGCTGCCGTGCGCCAGCTGCGTGTGGAACACCAGCCTGGGCCGGGCGCGGGGAGCCCGGGGGGCTGCGGGCCCGGGCGGCTCGGGGGTCCCCGGCTCCTGCCCCACGCCGTTCTCCATGGGGCCGCCCTCGGGGGGCTGCCGGCCGTGCCTGCCCGCCCGCTGCATCCCTGCGGCGCTGCTGAATTATGGATGGGGCTGGCTCCCCGCCGGCCGTAAGGCGATCCCCGCACCCGGGAACCTGAGCCGCTGGTGCAGGTCACCCGCGGGGATCGGGTGAGCTCTGCCACGTAGAAGAGCCCCGGCCCCGAGCCAGCACCATCACATCCCCCCCAGGCGGGGCTGGGGGCTGCAGTGATGAGCTCAGGGCTGCCACCCACGGATCCACCCCAAGAACCAAGCCCGGGATCAGCTCCAGAGCTCCCGCTGAGCACAAACACACAGGGACCAGAACGGTTTTCTCCCACATTTATTTGCTCCCATCTCCATCCCCAGCCCCGCGGCAGCAGGAGATGGCAAATGGCAGATGCACAGCGCAGGCCCGGCAAGCGAGGGAGGGGTGGGAACACCCCGGTCCCCGGCAGAGCCAGGGCCAGGGCCAGGCCCATGTAGTGCTAAGTAAGAAAATAAGACACTCTCTAATTACACAGTCTGAGATTAATGACAGGCAGTCCCGGGGACACCAAGCCTGACCCCGGTTGCCAGCACAGTGGTCCCACAAGAGCAGGGGGGGCTCAGGCAAAAAGGGCAGGAGGCAAAAGCCAGTGCAGCACACCCAGGGTCCCTGCAAGCAGGAAGGGGTCGGTCACAGTCCCCTGCTACAGGGTCCCCACCCTAGGACAAGGTGGTCCCAGCTCCCCCCTACCACGGGAGGGGGTCAGTCCCAGCTCTCCTCTGCTCCTTGCCCCAGGAGGGGGTCACAGTTCCAGCTTCCCTCTGGCCTAAAGAGTTTTATTGCTTTCAGGAGCTCACTGCCTGGTCCCAGATACAGAGGGGAAGGAGGGGAGCCAAGCAGGGTGACAGAGCAGAGGCTGAAGGCACGCATCAAATAAAAGCTGAGGCAGGTGGTGGGAAGGAGCTGCCCTCCAGCCCTTGCAGGGATGGGACCAAGAGGTTCCCAGGGTAGCCAGGGGACAGGAGGCAGCACCAGGACCAAGGGGGTCCCAGTCACCCCCCACTGCCCCCATTCCCCACAGCCCCAGTTCACCCTAGAGGGGTGTGTTCACTCCAGGCCCAAACCCACCAGCGCCTCCCCTGCCCCAGTCAGGCTTCAGGGAGCCCCTGGTTGGCAAGGCAGGGCTGGGGGACCAGGGGAGAGCCAGGGGTGCTCACACTGATGCTGACCCTCTCCCAGCACTGCCCCAGCTGGGCTTTCAGCCCTGTCACCACTTGTCCCCCAAAGCTCAAGGTCCCTGGAGCTGGTGCAGCCCTGGGTCAGGCAGTCCAGGCTGCAGGAAGGTGCAAGGGGCAGGGGGAGCAGCCAGAGCCCCTGCAGAGACTGTCCCTTGAGAGAGCTCCAAGGGACAGGCCCGGGGTCCAGCCAGGTCCGGGGTCTGAAGGACTGGTCCTCTCACAAGTGTTCACTGAGAAGGGAGAAAAGCACAGCTGAGTCACAGAATCCCACAACGGCTTGGATTGGAAGGGGGCCTAAAGTTCATCCAGCTCATCCCCCTGCCATGGCAGGGACACCTTCCACTGTCCCAGGCTGCTCCAAGCCCTGTCCAGCCTGGCCTTGGGCACTGCCAGGGATGCAGGGGCAGCCCCAGCTGCTCTGGGCACCCTGGGCCAGGGCCTGCCCACCCTGCCAGGGAACAATTCCTGATTGCCAAGATCCCATCCAGCCCTGCCCTCTGGCACTGGGAGCCATTGCCTGGCTCCTGTCCCTGCAGGCCTTGTCCCCAGTCCCTCTGCAGCTCTCCTGGAGCCCCTTCAGGCCCTGCCAGGGGCTCTCAGGTGTCCCTGGAGCCTTCTCTTGTCCAGGTGAGCAGGCCCAGCTGTGCCAGGCTGGCTCCAGAGCAGAGGGGCTCCAGCCCTTGGAGCATCTCCATGGGCTTCTCTGGGCTTGCTCCAACAGATCAGCACCTTTGGACATGGGGACATCTCCTGAATTCAGGGACTGGGCTTCCCTCTCCCACAGCTCCCTGGAGCAGCTGCACCATCTCTGCCCATCTCTGTGCACACCTTTCCTGCTCAGTTCCCATCACCACCAGCTGGAGCTCAACCCTGCAGTGCCATGGGGACACCTGTGCCAGGCTCCCAGCCCTGCACCCACCTGGCAATCCGGGACAGGATCTCCTTGACACGCAGCACCAGCGGCTCGTGCTGCAGGGGGTTGCTCTCAATGGCACTGTGCAGTTTGGCCATGTAGAAGTCCAGGGTGCTCAGCGTGGGGGTCTCCCCAGTGCCTGTGAGGTGACAGCCCAGTGAGCAGGACCAGCAGGTCCCCACCCCATCATGCTCATGTGCTGGGGACTACAGAAGGGGTCCCCGCACCAGATGCCATCTCCTGCAGTGGCACAAGCCCAGGCACACAAGGATTTTGGCCAATCTGGGGTGCAGCTGTGAGTGTGACTCCAGAGAAAGAGGGATCCCAGTCTGCCCTGTCCCAGGACACTGTCACATCCCTGGGCTTCCTGGACAGCTCCCCATGTGCTGCAGGATGCCACCCCAGCAGCAGAAGGGCAGTTACCACCACCCCACTGCCCCACAGTGCTCCCCTGTATGGGATGGGGGACCCCTCAGTGCCCAGGCAGGGGTCCCAGCAGGCGGGGGGCCCACAGCTGCCCCCAGCTCACCGGGGATGGGGAGGGAGGCGAAGCTGGCAGTGAGGGCCTGCCGCACAGACTGGAGCTGCTGCTGCAGGGCCAGGGTCTGCCGCTCCTCCTGCACCAGCTCCTGCTCCAGCTTCTCCTTGGCGCAGTTCATGCTCTCCGTGTGCTTCTGCAGGATGGCATTCTGCTCCTCAAACTCCGTGTTCATCTTGCGCAGGCGCCGCAGCTCAGCCTCCCGGGCTGTGGGACAGCACCGTGTCCATGGGGTCCTGGGGAACCCCCTCATCCCAAACCCAAACCCAAACCCAAACCCAAACCCTGGCCCACATACGGCTCTAAGATCCCAGCAGCTCTGTGTCCCCAACCCCAGGTTCCAGCCAGGACCTGCTCCCTCCACACAGGCTTCCCAAGGACCCTCCACAGCCCCTACCCTTGTTTTGGTCCAAGAACTCCTCGGTGAAGATGGGCACATCGAAGGTGGAGAAGGTGTCGCTGCACTCACCAGCCTGAGGGACAAGAGGGAGGGGTTGGGCAGGGCTGGGCCCACCAGAGGGGACCCCAACACCTTGGGGCTGGGCTGAGGAAGGGCACCAGGACAGGGTGAGGGTTGGCCCCATCTGGCAAGTGGGGAGGGAGGACGGCTGTGCTCTGCCTCCCACCCCTCCAGGAACCTGGGACTCACAGCCCCAGAACTCCCTCTGCTCACCCACACCTGCAGCCAGGCCAGCAGCGTGATGTGCCTCAGTTTCCCCACACACAAGCAGATCTGACAAAGCCTTACCTTGTGCGGGTGCCCGTTGAGTAGGGTGTTCACACCCACCGTGCCCACGTCCTCTGCAGGGGAGGAAGGAGGTCACCCAGGGCCCAGCCTCATGTCCCCAAAAGGCTCTGGCAGCACCTGGCTGGATCCTGCAGCCACTGCTCCCACAACCCACCTTTTTTGATCTTTTTCTCCTGGATCTTCTCTGTGCACATTTTGTAGGCCTCTGACTGCTGGTACTCCCGCAGCTCCTTCATGTACTGCTGCTTCTCCCGCTCTGCCTCGTCCAGGTACCGCTGTGGTGGGTCACAGAGGGGCCTCAGCCTGACCCCACCCAGCCTCCCAGGAGCTGCTGACTGTCCCTGCCCAGCTCCCACTCCCCAGCACTGTGCCCAGCACCTTTCTTGGAGCAAGCTCAGGGGTTTGGGGAGCAGGCTCTGGAGCTGCCCAGCCCTGGGGGGGGTCTCCCCTGGGGGCGAGTACCTGCTTCTCTGAGAGCTGCAGTTTGCTCCACTCTGCTCCCAGCATCTTTGTGATCTCTGGGAAGGGCAGGTCAGGGTGCTGCGTGCGGATCTGCTCGCGCCGCTCGTTCAGGAAGCGCACGTAGCCCGTCACGGGGGCTTTGGGGCCGTTGGGAAGGATCTTCTTCCTCTTCTTGCCCTTGGGCCAGCCCCTCTTCTTCACCGGCTGGAGCAGGGACAGCCCATCAGGGATCAGAGCCATTGCAGCAGGGGGACACAGGAGCAGCCCCCAGGCCCACCTGGGCCATGCAGCCCTCAAGGCAAAGTCTGAGCCCTTCCCTGGCCCATGGCCACACGTGGGCTGGTGCAGGGCGAGCAGAGGAGCAGGGACAGCCCCAGGCTGGGCACTTGGGCCCCAGTCTCAGGGATGCTGTGAGAAGGGACACAGGCTCTGGCACTCACCTCCTCCTCCGGCTTCTCGCCGCCCACCCGCGCCGACTCTCCCTTCTCCTGTTTGATGGCCACCAGGAAGTTCCCATGCTGAGCCTTGCCCGTGGCGTGTCTGCAGCCAGAGAGCGCCATCAGAGAGGGCTGGGACACCATGGGGACCAACAGTGACACATCCCCCAGCAGCATGAGCTCACACTCACCAGATTCCCCAAACCCCCTGAGTCAAACAGCCCAAACCCAGCACTGTCTACGGAGCCCTTGTTCCCATGAGGGGAGGCTACAGCAGAGCCATGGCACTGAAGCAGAGCCCAGCACCTGAGCAGGGCAGCCCTGCACTCTAAAGCTGCCCTGAGGTCTGGGGGCAGCCCTGGGACTCCTCAGGGACATTTGGATGGGGGTTGGCTCTTGGGGTCAGGAAACATTGACAGTCACATCCCTGCCTGTCACCTGGGCTTGGGACACACCTTGGTGGGAAGTCCCAAGGGACTCTGCAAGGGAGCAGGAGCCACAGGGGTTTGGATCCTGGCACCAGGGGCACCACCTGGAAGCATCACCCACACCCCAGGAACCCTGGAGGCAGAGGGTGAGGGCAGGGCGCTGGCTTGAGCTGCTTCAGCCACAACCACCCCAGCAGGTTTGTGCTGCCTGTGACACCTCCCCAGCACCTCGAGTGGCTGCACTGCAGGGCCCAGCCCCTGTTCCCAGGGCACTGCCACGGCTTCATGGATCAGCAGCTGCTTCAGGCAGAGCCTCCCTGCCCCACTGAACACCCTGGGTGGGTAAAGCCTCCATGCCCCACCACAGCATCACCCTGGGGCTCCTCCCACTGGCTCCATCTCCCATTCACACCCCAGGGTCCTCAAGGCAGCTCCTGCTCTGCTGGAAATGTCCTCACCACGTCAGGGGAGCCACAAAGGGCTCCTGAGTATCACCAAGTGATGCTCACTTGGGTTCCAACCAGGTGCCCAGACTTGGGAACCAGCTCAGGGCCAAACACAAGCCCTGGCACAGACATGTGCCAAAAGCCACAGCGATCCCAGCCTGCTCAGGATGCACCTTGGAATTTCCCTTGTGTTTGCCACATCATGTACCTGGAGCAAATCCCAATCCCTGCAGAGACCCCAAGCTACTGGTATCCATTTATCACCCAGACAAGCCATCCTTGCACTTAATTTAGGGGGCTCCTTCTGTGGGCCCCCAGCACAGAGCCTGACACTGCAGAGGCCCTTGTAGAGAAAGTGGGACAAGTCCCTCCACCAGCATCAGAGGCAACCAGTGCCCTAGACCCCCACATTCACAAAAAACCCCACAGGAAGGTGTGAGACCACCTCTTCTTCCAGATCCTGGGGAAAAAGAACCCTCTGAGGCTATGCAGGGTCATGGCCAGCCTTTGGCATTATTAGCTGCAAGAGCAATGTTCCCAGTGATGTCCACAGCATCATCATGTTCGCCAGGAACACACTGACACCCTCCAGCACCAGAGATCACCCTCCCCCCTTGTGATCCGGATTCCTCGAATGCCTAAGGATGCTTTAAAAAGTAAAGTTATCTCAGGCAAGATTCCTCCTCAGCCACTTTGCTCTGGCATTCACCTCCCTCCACCTCTGAGGAGCCTCCCCATCCACCACCCCCGTGTCAGGAGGGCCAAGGACAACTCAGGACAGTACAAATCTCAGAGGATTTCAGCACTTGCTGATTCTGATCTCCCAATATGCTTAGAATCACAGAATCCTGGAATATCCTGAGCTGAAAGGGACCCTCAGGGATGATCAGTGCAGCCCCTGTCCCTGCACAGCCACCCCAACAACCCCACCCTGAGCAGCCCTGGGAGCTCCTGGAGCTCTGGCAGCCTTGGCACCATTCCCTGGGGAGCCTGGGCAGTGCCCAGCAGCCTCGGGGGGCAGAACCTTGCCCTGAGCTCCATGCCAAGGCCCGGCCCAGCTCCAGCCCTTGCTGGGCTCCTGTCCCTGTCCCAGAGCAGAGCTCAGCCCCTGCCCCTGTGCCTGCCCTGGGCAGGAGCTGCAGCCCCCAGGAGCCTCCCCTCAGTCTCCTGGGCTCCAGCTGAACCAGCCAAGTGCCATCAGCTGCTCCTCAGCCCTTCCCCAGCTCCGTGTCCCTCCTTTGGCCACTCTTCAACAGCTTTGGATCCTTCTGATCTTATGGTGCCCAAAGTGCCCCCAGCACTGGAGGTGAGGCTGCCCCAGGGCAGAGCAGAATGGGACAATCCCTCCCCAGCACACACAGACCTCCCTCAAGGCTTGGAAGGGGGTGAGATTCTGCTGCTCTTTCAGCAGGGGCACTGACACACAGCAGGGTGGCCAGAGGAGGTTCTGGCACTTACAGCAGGGCGGCAGGCGGCTGCTTGGTGCTGTGGGCCATGGGCAGGGGTCTCGGTCAGCACCCTGTGGGCAGAGCACAGTTGGCACTGTCATCGGGCAGTGATGCCCCTGCCAAACCCCCCAAGGAGGTATCTCCTTCGTGGGGAAATCACAGAACCTCTCCCCAGATGGTATCTCCTCCCCAACCAGCCCCTTACTGGCCTCTCACTCACCCCAGCCCCAGGATCCCCACAAGCTCCAGCCCGCTCCCACTGACCCACCCCTCCCTGGGGGTGCCATCACATCTCCCAGGGGCTCCTCCCCCGTGCCCCCTTCCCACCGCGATCCCCAGCACCCCCTGAGCCCTCCCCCGCAGAAACCCCCCCCTTCCCGAGACCACCGCCGCCCCAAGAGCTGCATCCCGGGAACACCCCGCGCCCCTCGCACCCCCAGTGCCCCCGGCACCCCTCACCGGCCCTCCCCGTCCCGCCCTCTCTCTTGGGGTCCCATCGCAGCGCCCCAGTGGGCTCGCCCTCAAAACCTGCCCTCAAAACCCGCCCTCTACCCCCGCCTCCCCGAGCCCCCCCAGGAGCGCCCCTTCCACAGGATCCCCCCAGAGGAGCCCCCACTCCCAGAGGATCCTCCCACAGGATCCCCTCACAGGCTACCCCTCCCCAGGAACGCCCCTCCCAGAGTATCCCTTCCCCCCCGCCAGGATCCCCTCACAGGCTCTCCCCCACACGATCCCCCCAGGAGCACCCCTCCCAAAGGACTCCCACAGGATTCCCCCCTCCCACAGGATCCTCCCAGAGGATCCCCCCCGCCCAGGAACGCCCCTCCCAGAGTATCTCCCCCCAGGATCCCCTCACAGGCTCTCCCCCCACAGGATCCCCCCAGGAGCACCCCTCCCAAAGGACTCCCACTGAAGCGATCCCCCCCCCACAGGATTATCCCCCCTCACAGGATCCCCGTCCGGACCCGCCGCCGCTGCCGCTCACTTGACCACGCCCCTCTATTATTATGCAAACGAGGCTCCCGCCGCACCGCCCCCGATTGGCCGCTCGGCGCCGACTCGCTGAGCGCAGCCAGACGCGGGTTGGCTGGATGTGATGACGTCAGAGGGAAGCGGCGGAAGGGGGATCGGGGCTGGCGGGCGCGGCGCGCGCGCGCTGCTGGCGGCCCGACCAATCAGCAGCCAGCGTGGGGACGAGGAAGTGTTGTGGAGAGGGCAGCGTCTTAAAGGGGCAACGACAAAGAGGAGGGGGCGCATCTCCAGTGGCCCGATGTGGGCAGCGCCTTCAAAGGGCAACGTCATGGCGGGGTCCCTCGGCCGCCGCCCCATCCCAGTGAGCCCAGTGTGTTCCCATCGCTCCCAGTAACCTCAGTGCCCACCCTGCTCCACCGCTCCCAGCAGCCCCAGTACCTACCCAGCAGGGGGTACCCATGACACCAGTACTTATCCTAGAGTCCCAGTGCCCCCAGCACTCCCCCAACATTGCTTCCTGTCAGCCCAGTACAGTCCATACTGGTCCCAGTGACTCCATTAAATGCACAATGGGAGGTCCCCCACGACCTCCAGTCTGCTCCTAATGTCTCCAGTATTCACACAGTTGGGGATCCCCATGATGCCTGTGGTCACCACAGAGCCCCAGTGACCCTAATACTCCTCTCTAGAGGGTCTCAGTGCCTCCAGTACTGGTCATACTGGTCCCAGTCACAACACTACCTACTCAACAGGAGCTCCCAGTTGCCCAAGAACCTACACACTACTCCCAGTGACAGCAGTATTCACCCAAGAGGGGGTGTCCCATGACTCCAGTAGCCACCCCAGAGTCCCGGTGACCCCAGTCCTCTCCCCCACACTGTCCCCAGTCACCCCAGTACCCCCACATGACTCCTACTAACCCCAGTGCCCATCCAAGCAGGAGGTACCCATGACATCTGCAGTCATCCCAGGGTCCCAGTGACTCCCAGCTGACTGGTTCCAGTGCCCACAATCCCTGTACCCCCCACTCCTGCAGACTGACACTCCCCACTTGGTGCATACTGGGGTATGGGGTGACTGGGAGCAGTGTGATGGTGTACTGGGATCACTGGAACTCAGGCAACTGTGAGCATCATGGGGATCCCTCACTTGAATACCGGGGTTGCTGGGAGCAGCGAGGGTGTACTGGTGTCACTGGAATTCTGGGGTGCCTACTGGCAGCATGGGGACCATCACCTTGCTGGGGTGGGTACTGAGGTCACTGGGAGCAGTGTGGAGGTACTGGAATGACTGGGTCATTCCCTTGTGGGTAATGGGACTGATACAGGCAGCACTGGTGTGACTGGGAGCTGTGTGAGGGCTCTGGGGTCTGTGGTACTGCTGTGGGCAGGGCAGGAGTGACTGGGAGTGTGGGAGTGTTACTGGGAACACTGGGGACAGCACTGGTGTGACTGGGAGCAGTACAGGACAAGTACTGGCGTGACTGGGAGCACTGTGGTGACAGCACTGATGTGACTGGGTGCAGTGTGGGGGTAATACTGGTGTGACTGTGAGCAGTGCCATGGTACTGGTGTGACTGGGAGCAGTACAGGGCCACTACTGGTGTGACTGGGAACGGGGAGGGGGCAGCTGTGATATGTCTGGGAGCAGTGTGGGGACAGCAGCGGAGTCCCGTGGGGTAGGACTGGGTGTAACTGGATGCTCGGATCGGTGGATCGGAGTGGGGACAGCACTGGTGTAACTGGTGTAAGTGGGCGCTCGGGTGGGTGGATCGGACTGGGATCAGCACTGGTGTAACTGGTGTAAGTGGGCGCTCGGATGGGTGGATCGGAGTGGGATCAGCACTGGTGTAACTGGTGTAAGTGGGCGCTCGGATGGGTGGATCGGAGTGGGATCAGCACTGGTGTAACTGGTGTAAGTGGGCGCTCGGGTGGGTGGATCGGAGTGGGATCAGCACTGGTGTAACTGGTGTAAGTGGGCGCTCGGGTGGGTGGATCGGACTGGGGACAGCACTGGTGTAACTGGTGTAAGTGGGCGCTGCCCCGTCCCTCCTCGCCCCGCCCGGGCCGCCCCCCGCTCTCCCCGCCCAGGCCGGGTCCCGGGGGATGCGGGGGATCGGCGGCGCAGGCCGGTCCCTCCCTGTCCCTGCCATCTCCTCCCTCCTCGCTCCGTGTCCCTCCCCGTCCCCTCCCATTCCCTGGCGGTGCCTCCCGCCGGGCCCGTCCCGCCGCTGTCCCCGCGGGCTCAGGCCGGGCCATGGCGGAGCCGCCGCTGTCCCCGCAGTCCCCGGGCCCGGCGCTGCCGCTGCGGGCGCGGCTCAGCTTCGCGTGCGGGCACTTCCTGAACGACGCGTGCTCGGCGCTCTGGTTCACCTACCTGCTGCCCTTCCTGCACGCCGTGCTGGGCTACGGGCACGCCGCGGCCGGGGGGCTGCTGCTGGCGGGCCAGGCGGCCGACGGGCTCTGCACGCCCCTGCTCGGCTTCGAGGCCGACCGGGCCCACGGCTGCGGGCGCTGCGGGCGCAGGAAGGGCTGGCACCTGGCCGGTGGGTGCGGGGACCGGAGGGACCGGAGACACCCGGGCGGGGGGTGCGGGGACTGGGAGCTCTGATGGGGGAGCCGAGGGGAGAGGGTTGACCCCGGGAGAGCCTTTTTGGGGTGTCCTGAGTGGGCGACATCCGAGGGGGGACTTTACTGGGATGCCGTAAGTAGAGAGGGATGACCCCGGGGGAGCTTTCCGTGTGTGGAACAACCGGCAGAGCCTTTCTGGGATGCTCTGAATGAAGAGGGATGGCCCCGGGGGAGAATTTCTGGGGTGTCTGTGTTGGGGGACATCCAGAGCCCTTCTAGGATGCTCCAAGTGGAGAGGGGTGGCCCCGAGGGACCCTACTGTGTTCTGTGTTGAAGGACACACAGGAGAACCTTGGCGTGGCCCAAGGGTACCTATCCAAGGTGTCTCGGGTGAAAATCGGTCGCCCAGAGTGGCTTTTCTGCAGTGGCCCAGATGGAAATGAGGGGCCATGGGGAGCCTTTCTGGGGTGCCCTTGGGTGGAACACACTGTTGGGGTGCCAAAGATAAGAGACAGGTAACCCCCGAGGGGCTTTGCTTAGGGGAGGGCAGGAGTATGGCTGTGAGGGAGGGAGGGAGACCTTCTGAGGTGCTCTGGGTTGGGGGTCACCGCGGGGAGCCTTTCTGGGGTACTCTAAGTGGAGAGGGTGGCTCTGGAGGGACCTTTCTGGGGTGCCCTGAGGGAGTGACCGAGGGTGCCTATCCAAGGTGACATGTGCGAATGGGTGACCCTGGGGGAGCTTTTCTGGGATGCCAGGGGTGGGAGACCCTCGTGGGGTGTCTGAAGGGAGAAGGGTAGCCCAAGGAGCCTTTCTGAGGTGCCCTGAGTGGAGGGAACCCAGGAGAACCTTTCTAGGATACTCAGGGCAGGGGACAGTGGGGGATGCTGGGTGGAGGGGATTGGCCCCAAGCAGCTCTGCTGGGGGGGCACGGGTGGGGGACACTCTGCTGGGGGACCCTGTGGGGACATGGAGGAGCCTCTCTGGGGTACAGGACCAGCCCCAGGATACCTTTCTGGGGTGCCCTGGAAGAGGAGGAACAAGTCCAAGAGTGCCTTTCTGGGTTGGGGGATCAGCCTTGGGGGTTCACTGGAGCGGGGAGGAATTGGGGTGTCTTGTGGCATGGAGGTCTCCCTGAAGATGTGGGAGCCTTTCTGGGGAGGGGGACCATCATGTGGCAGTGAGGTCGGGACAGGGTCCCCCCAGCTGGAGAGGGGCAGCCCTAGGGGTGAGCAGAATTGTATGCCCTGGGGTGGAAGGGAGCAGCTCCTCCATGGAAGGGAGGGCTGTCCTGGGGGCTTTTGGGGTGCCCTGTGGAAGGTGAAGGGGCTCTGGTGTGTTGGCAGTGCCCTGGGTGACAGGAGATGTGTCTGGGGTGCCTTGTGAGGAGGGGATAGCCTGGGAGGTGCCTTTCTGGGATCCCCTGCAGCAGCGAGCTGGGGACAGAGCTGCTGCATGTGTAGAGGACAATGGGATGCTGAGCCTGGATGGGGAAGGGGCACCATGGCATCCCTGTCCTGCCTGGGCACCATCCCATCCCGGAGGGCTCCCTGCTGTCCCTCAGGTTTTGTGTATGTGGGTGGCAGCAAGCAGGGGTGAGAGCCACGTGCTCAGACCTCGGAGCTGCAGCAAAACCAAGACCATCAGTAAAATCTGGGCTTTCCCAAAAGCCCAGGTGCTTCCTGAGCAGCTCTCAGTGTCACCAGGGTGGGGGCCCTTGGCTGTGCTGGGGCTGTGTACCCCAGGGGCCAGCAGTGGGGTATGGCATGCACAGGAGGCTCTGGCTCGCAGGAATTATTGACAGGTTTATCTTGCATTCTGCCCTGGGTCAAAAAATGCAGCGAGTGCAGGGGTTGGTGGGGACCCATCTGCTGAGGTCCCTCTCTACAGTGTGGTGTAGAGAGGGGTCCTTGGTCCTTCTCTGAGGGGACAATGTGATGTGGAGAGGGGTCCTTGGTCCTTCTCTGAGGGGACAGTGTAATGTGGAGAGCAGTGTGGTGTAGAGAGAGGTCCTTGGTCCCTCTCTGAGGGGACAGCATGGCCTGAAGGGGGTTCCTTGGTGCTGTGACTGCTGCAGGAGCTGGCACATCCTGCTTAGCTGGCACTGGGGACGGAGCAGTTGGTGGAAGAAATGGCCATTGATAACAACCCTGGGTAACGACCTGCCTCACCCAGAGCAGACCCACGGGGGGGGGGGGAGGACGGTTGCAGTGTAGGTCCTCTTATCTTGATCTCAAATTTATCTCGACCAATGCTTTGTGCAACCCAACGGCAGCCTGATAAGGCGCCTGACCTCGCCGGAGCTTGGCTTTGTGAGTCAGGGAGAGCGCAGGAGGGGCAGCTTCACCCCTGCCCCAGCGTCAGCGCCCTGGATTTGGGGAAGTGGCCGGAGCTGTTTCCTCCCGCTGCTCCAGCCGGGTGCTGCCCGGCGAGCACAGGGGAAATGCTACCTCGGGCCTGCAGGG